AGAACAGAGATATTAACTTTGGAATTTATTAGAAAAATAGAAAGTTAAGTAGGCATATACTGATGCGTATACTTTGCCAGCAGGTGGCAGACACTAGGGAGAGGGGATTAGAATAAGGATGGGGAGATTAGGGAGGTGAGAACTAAATCAATTCAGCAGAAGGAAAGAAAGGAGAAAAAAAGTAGCAGAAGAAAAATACGGTGAATAGAAAGCACAAAATAAGAATAGAACTAAGTCCAAATATAACAGTAATCACATTAAGTAGATGAATTTAAAATATAACTGACAAGAATAATCCATACACATCAACATTATACATCAACACTGTTAGGATGCTGTTTTAAAGCAGGACTCAAAGGAAAATTTGTAGCTTTAAATTTATCAACTAGAGGAAATAAAGTTTGAAAATCAAAAAGCTAAGTGCTAAATTCAAGAAACTAGAAAAACATAATAAACTCGAATGAGAGGAAGGAACTATAAAATGCTTACCTGTGTGAAGACAGGAGAGGAATACAACTGAGGCAGGGGACACAGAGTCAGTACTTCCATTAAATACTTAGTATTTCTAAGGTTTTAATTTCTTAAACTGGGTAGTGTACATACAAGCATTACTGTATTCTCTATTCATTTTTTATGTCTTAAATATTTCACAAAAACAAGAACACTTGACATTTTGACAGAATGGCAAAAGGCCTGGCAATGTCAATTCTTAGAGAAGATGCAAAAAAACGGAATTCCCATCCACTGCTAGTGAGAGTATAAATTATTACAGTCACCTGGAGAGCAATTTGAGGATTCTAAGTGCAAGTGAAAATAGGTATACCATGAGACCTAGCAAATCCCACTTCTCAGCATATCCCTAAAAAAATTCTGCCTTATCTTCAAAGAGACATGTACAGAGACATGCTTATAACAGCAAAAAACTAGAAACAACTTAAATGCCCAGCAAAAGGGGAATGTCTAAATATTTACATTCTTAGTCTATGTATCAACAAGGATACATTCCACCCAAAAAAGCTCCTTGCTGGAAGAAAAGCAAGTTGTAAAAAGATAAACAACGGTATCTTTTAAAAAGACAAAATAGCACTAGGCATTGCTTACAAATATATATGTAGTAAAAATACAGAAACAAAGCATGACAAGTTACATGCCAGATATATGATTATATGATTAGAAAGAGGCTGGGAGGGGATTCTAACTTTATCAGTAAAGTCATGCGTTGTTTTATTCCTTAGAAAATCTAAAAAATACCAGTATCTGTTAATTCTGAGTAGTCTAGATACACAAATTTTTGCTAGATTATTACTTGCATTTTTTTAAACTACAAATTGAAAAATAAAAATAATATCCATCTTGTTGGGAGATTAAACTATTTAAATGGCTCATATAGGAATGATACCTGGGATCTAATGGAAACTTTTAAAATGTGAGTTTTCTTTATTATCAAACAAGATAAGTATTCAGGTAGGCAGTTTGTAGGATATTTTGTCCTGCATGTGTTCTACAGAAAAGTGAGAAAAATTACTAATATATTTTTTATACCAGCACAATTGGCTAAACCTCCACTTGGCCATTAGGTTTCAGCTGAGATTTCACCCTCTCTTGGATTCCACTCAAGACTGCCTTGGCCGACCCTTGTCTGGGACCCCACACGAGCTGTCCTCACCCCTACCTGACCACTTACCACACTGCACTCTAACTGCTTGCTGGTTCCTATGAGATTAAGGACTGCCACATCCCGGTACCTGCCACGGTGTCAGGCATAAAGCTATGCTTAGTAAAGACTTCCGGAATGAAAGGTTTCTTTGGAAACATCTACTAAAGAAATTAAAATAGTCTTTACAGAAATAAATACTAACTTCACTAACAGAAGAAATGCAAATGAAAACCAACCATGCAGCACATTTCTCACATATAATTATGTGACAATATATCATGCTGGACAAGCTATGGTGAAAGTAGGATATTCATACACTGCTATTTCCAAATATATAAACAAATTTCTATCACTTTAAGCTAATTATAATTTTTTATCAGATAGCACTAGAATGCCACTATTTATTATTCTATAAATGTACCAAAGGAAGAGAAGAAACTAAGAATAAAGGCGGCTGTTACTATCCTCATGGAATATAAACTGGTACAAACCTTTTGGAGGACAATATGAATATGGCATATGGCAATATATATGCACTAAATTGTTTAAACAATTCTGAAAATTTTTCCTAGGAAATACTTTTAAAAAGAAGAAAAATGATAAGATATTCCCTGCAGAGTTATTTATAAAAGTGAAAAATCAGAAACACCAAAATGCCCAGCAATGGGTAAATGATTTAAAAACTGTGTTAAGTGGGATAAATATTAAAAAAGACTATACAGTGACATAAAAAGTGTAGTTAGTACTATGGTTAATAAATGAAAGATAATCAGAAAACAGAATATTATCTATGCAAATTATAACTGTATAGGAATTATACAGGCATGTGGTCAAGAATAGTTTCTTTGTTGGAGAGACAGGATTTGGGAATGAATTACTTTCTTTTCTAACAGCATACTAATATTGCTATAATACTATAGGTATAATAACTTTTAATAAAGTAAATGAGAATAGAAGCAAATGAAATATCTAACTTTTCTAAGACAAGAAATACCGTTTTTAAAGAGATCTATAGAATACAGTCTGCTCTCAAAAAGTATCAAAAAAGTTGAGAAAAAGTTCTGACCTAGATGGCCTAAACAATAAATTATAAATCCAAGAGTCTTCCCACATTCATGTTAAAGTTTCTTTGAAATTACAAACTAAAATTAGATTCTACAAAACTAATGCAAATAATGATAGTGGTATGTACATGTTTTCTTGTTAAATATTGTATATAGGAGGTTAACAGTTAAAAATTTTTTTAAAAATTTTATTTTTTTAGAGATGTACGTTCACAGTAAAATTGAGAGGAAGGTAGAGTGTTCCCGTATTCCATATACCCCTGCTCCCACACATGCACGGTCTTCCCCAACAGTTACCATTTTAATTTCCAAGGATAAACATTTCATATAGGTTCAAAAAAAGGGACTAGATGAAAGCTTATTTATTTTCACAAATTTTAACTTCCAGAAATTTCAGTTCTGTATCAGCCATGAATTAAATAATTTTTATAACTGTGTTGACTATTTGAGCTACAAGGAATAATAAAATACATTTAATAACTCTTTAATTTTACTGGGGCCCATAGAAAGAAAGTAAATGTATCTATATGATGTATTCCTTCCCTCCTATGAATGCACCATAATTTATCTGACCACTCATCTGCTACTGAACATTTAAATTTAATCCAGATTTTTTTTACAATTATAAGTGATACATTTGGAAAAATTCTTGAATATGATTTGTCAATTATTTACTTAGACCAGATGCCTAGAACTGGAATTTACTTACAGAGATGATTAGCCTGGGCCCCAAAACAGAAAGAAGAAAACCTTTTCCCTTCAAAAACAAAGGGGTCATTATAAATATACAGACTATGACCTGAAAGGTGAAAATCAGAAGAGATGTCTAAGAACCAAGGTCCCGGAACTGTCTATTCCAACCACAATAAACCACCTGCAGTTCCCCGGAACCCATGCACCAGTCTCTTGTAGGATCCTTAGTACACTGCTCCCTCTGCTGGAGCATCTCCACCCACCCCGTGTGCTGCCAAACTTCCTGTCTTTTCCCTCCAGGAATTTTTCAGTAATCCCCAAAGTTAAATACTCTTCCACTCTGCTTTGACAACACCCTCCGGTTACCCCCATCTTAGAACTCATTTCATACACCGAATTATAATTAATGGTCTGTCTCCTGGACTAGACAATGAGTTCCCTCAGGACAAGGACTATTTCTTCTTTCCCTGCTGTGTCCTCAGCACCTAGCAAAGTAGTTGGGATGCAGCAGGCACTGAAGAAAAATTTACTGAATGAATTAATCAATTACAAAGCAGACAGTCTAAAGCAAGGCTAAGCAAACTTTTTCTGTCTATAAAGGGCCAGACAGCAAATATTTTAGGCTTTGGGAGTCCTGTGGTCTGTCACAACCACTCACTTCTTCTGCCTGTGTAGTGCAAAAGAAGCCACAGATAACATGGAGATGAAGGTACATGGCTGTGTCCCAATAACTTTATTACCAAAAGCAGGCAGCAAACCAGATTTGGCCCATGGACTATAGTTTGCCGATCACTGGTTTAGAGGAAGGGCCTTTACATTTTAAAAAGGAAGGGAAAAAAAAATGATGAAAACATCATAGAGACTTAGTGCTTTAAACCTATACAAAGTTTAAGCCAAGCTGTACCTACACAACTCAACTGTTATTATTTTGTACCCTCAAATTCCTCTCCTCTGTGAGTTGGTCTGCAGCGCACAGAAAAAGGGGAAGGGTGACAGCTAAAGAGGACAGCATGGTGCTCTAAGATGGGAGCTGGATGCCAGGCCAAAGAAGGATCAGTCAGATACCAAAAGCAGCAGAGATGGGTTTAAATAAGAAAGGACTTGATAGAACTTTTAAACTTGTAAATCTTTAACTCACTGATGTAATGCTGGTAAACCCAGGTTAGACACACAGACTATCATGAAAATAAACTGAAGATATATATACAGGAACTAGCTTAGAATTTCATTACCACTTTGAGAGGAAATATGCATCAAAACAATGTGTGTGCTTGTCTCCACAGTTCAAGGTAAAAAAGGAAAAATGACAACATTCAATGAAAGAATGTCCATTCATTTTTGGAACCCGCTGTTCAGGTTCAAAAGCAAAATCCTTTCGCAGTGTTGATACTTTCTTGCCTCAGACTCCACATGCCATCTCTCCCCTTCCCAAACCTCCCGCCACAAGCCTCCAGTGCTTTTACTCCTTTGGTTGTGGCAATAGAAGAGGGGGCTCAAGACCAAGCCTGCACGGACCATGAGAACCCATCCTCTCTGAAATGTGCATGCTTTGTCTGAAAAGTTAGTGGATTTAATCAGAGCCTTACTTTTCATAGTCCCTTCTTCTTCCTCATCCTCTGTATTGATTACCATGGTGCCCAACTGTGATGGCAATGTGTCATCGTGCTCAATCATGGTATTGGCTCCATCACTCATGGTGCTGGCTACTCGGACAGTACCCATGTCATCACCCACTGCTCGAACCATCGTGCCAGAATCCAATTCATCCTCCTCCTGTAAAAGGATAAAATCTCAAATTGGGACTAATTTGATAAGAAGACTTAAAAGTTTTCTGAATTACTATGAGTGCAAATATTTCTGGATTTCACAGTTATTCAGGTTCTAAACTCAGTTTGTAGAACTGAAAGCACTCTTATTTAAGCAAAGAATATCATAAATTTGTCCATCTAACCCTAAAGACCTCTTCCTCTGTCCCTCTCTTAATAGAATATTGCAACATAGATCTAAGAAGCTGATGTGAACACCCTTGGAATCTCAAGGTTATGACGGACTCTGTAAGTGTTTTTAAGAGCTACATGTTGAGAATGGATCTTAGGTTCCCCCAAAGGGCATGGAAAAACCAAGTCCCAGACCTGAGTGTTCCCTCTCCAAAATAAAAAGTTAAACTGAATAAAAGATATGAGGCAAAAGAGTAAAATTTAAGTGTTTTCAGAAGCACGGGGAGAAGAACAGGCAGAGACTCAGCAAGCCTCTAGTATGCCTTGCTCCAGGTTAGGACACAGTCACACAAGAAGAGTCTCCAACTCCAGGCTCATCCATCATCTCCTACTCATCTTACCTGGCCTGGAAATCATGAAATAACAAGCATCAATGCCTGAGGCCCACAGCAGTGCCTGCCACTCACTGAGTTTTCTTCATCGTCCTGGTCCACTTCCCGCTGCTGGGCTTCCTGGCGTTTCAGTTTCACATCCATGGCTTCGTTAATTAAGTCTCGCAGTATTGACACTCCTTTGGCACTCTTGACAAATGGGTGCTTAAACAAGAAAGTGGAAAATACTGGAGACAGGTTATCTGGTGACAGTGCCACAGTGCTTGGCACACAGGAGGTGCTTGATAACATTTGTGGAATCAATCAGTGAATCTAATATTTCTCTTTATGCTGCAGGCAACAGCTAAACCACAGTTACTTTGTAACTGTTCTCTGCAAGCGTCCAGGTTAAGAAAAATAAATAAATATAACTCTGAGCAGATGCACATTCAGGCTTTGCCCATCTTTTTCAGCCTGGCTGGAATGTCTATGCCATTTCTCTATGCCAAATCTAGAAAAATCTCAATAGGGTGTATTGCCTGCTAGAGGAAGTTCCGTAAACATGTTGGGAGCATGTTGCAGTTGTCACAATGTCTAGAGGGGACAAATGGCATAGGAGGCAATGACACTAGTGATCCTGCAAAGTATGGAACTGTCCCACAAAACAAGGAACTGTGGCACATCCTACACATATTTCAAATGTCTCAGATTGTATATATACTTTAGTAGATAATTTCAAATTTTTCTTTCAAGAAATATGCAAAAAGGCCAGTGATTGCGGAGATGAATTTGGAGGGGAAGTTTAATGGAATAAAGACATTGTTTAGAAATCACTGAATAGGCCAGGAGCAGTGGCTCACGCCTGTAATCTTAGCACTCTGGGAGGCCGAGATGGGAGGATCACATGAGGTCAGGAGTTCGAGAGGAGTTCGAGAGCAGCCCGAGCAAGAGTGAGACCCCATCTTTACTAAAAAGAGAAAAAATTAGCAGGGCGTGGTGGCACCTGCCTGTAGTTCCAGCTACTCAGAAGGCTGAGGCAGGAGGATCGTTTGAGCCTGGGAGTTTGAGGTTGCAGTGAGCTAGGATGATGCCACTGCACTCTAGCTGGGGTGACAGAGCAAGACTCTACCTCCAAAAAAAAAAATAAATAAATCACTGAATAATTTTTTCATCTCACTTATTTTTTCTGTTCAATGTACTATAGCATTTCCATTCCATTAAAAGTAATAAAAGTTTTAAAATACATATATTGGTTATAAAAGGGGGTATTGGGTCTGAAATGGTTGAAAACTATTGGCTGAGCCCAGTAATAACAGCAGATACTTATCAAATCCATACCATATTATCTGCAATACGTGTAAAGCATTGTTCCAGGTTACACATTATATCACTTAATCATTACAACATATGAGGCAGGTACTTTATCCTCACTTTATAGATAAGAAAACTAGACAGAGAGGTTAAGTTACTTGCCCAAGGTCACAAAGCTAGTAAATAGGGAGCCAGGATTCAAACCTGGGCAGTCTGACCTCAGAATCCAAGCTCCTAATCACTGAGCATACTGCCTGCCAAATCTCACCCATCCTTTAAGACCCAGGCACAGAAGCTACCTCCTCCAGGAAAGCACACCTAACATCTCCAGTCCAAAGTGGCCTCCTTTCATCCTGAGCTCCAGCAGCACCCACCAGTGATCTCGATTCTTTATCAGAATTGGACAGACTTGACGGCCTCCTGCTTTGCAATCAAAAAGACCCAGGTTCTAATGTTGGTTCTGCTATTTACCAGCTGAATGACTCTAAATGAGTTAACCTCTCTAAGCCTCCATTTTCTCACCTATAAAATTAAAATAATAACCACCCCTCACAGGGTCTATGTGATGATTAAATGGCATAACATGTGCAAAGCATGTGGCACACAGCAAGTGCCCACTAAATGTCAATTCCCTTTCTCTAATCCCATGCAACCCCGTATGTTCTTGTATTATTGTCTTGTTCAATGATTTAACATTCTTTTCCATGTCTTTTCTACTCAAATACACCCAAACCTCCCTAGAGGCAGAGAATGTCTGATACTTCTTTACTGTCTCCATGTAGGTGGTGTAATGGCATTTTTCAGTCAGCATGTGAATGAAACGGGGAGAGGCGGCATCACAGGGTGATTCATACCTGTAGGAGCTGAGTGGCTGTGGCTCTCTGGTCAGGGCTCTTTACAAGACACTGCCTCACAAAATCCATGAAGTTATCTGACCACAGTTCTGGCTTTCGGAATGTGGGAGGAGGGTTTGTAGGAATCATGAAGATTGCCTAGTTAAAATAAACAAACAAATGAAAAAAAGTTTTGGTAAACTAAATGTGAAGCTGCAAAAATATGTCTGGAATTACATTTGAAGCTTGGTAAAATGATTTTTCACTTCTTCACTGATAAGCCCATCCAAATTCCAACAGAAGTCTAAGCATTTCAAGTAGGATGCATGACAATTAGAAAACCTGATATATCTCTCTCCTTCTCTTTCCCTTTCATATGCAGTCTTGTCCCCAAACCTCATGTCAATTAAACTTTCTTTTTTTTTGCTAACCACAGTACGCTGCCTTTCAAAGTGGAAAGGATCTAAGAGTATCCTTATCCTGAAGATAACCTCAGCTGACAACTGTCAAGTTTCCCACCTCCTTAAAAGTCACAACCAGGCCAAGCACAGTGGCTCACACCTGTAATCCCGATACTTTGGGAGATTTAGGTGGGAGAATTGCTTGAGGCCAGGAGTTTGAGACCAGCTTGGGCAATACAGTGACATCCCCATCTATATGAAAGAAACACATGTTTTTAATATTAAAAAAATACAAAAAAGTCACAACCACCTCAGATGTCAACAGTGATGAGGTCATCAACCAGAAGCCCCAAATATCACAAGGGAGTCATTAACCTCAAAAGCCAAGCCAAATGAACCAAAAAAAAAATTTTGTATTGGCCTACTACATTACAGTTAAATTCTACTATTTAAAAAAATAAGACTATTATTTATTGAATAAATAGAAGTAGATGGAGGTTGGAGAGTACAGAGCCTCCAAATGAAGAGTCCGGGGATCCACAAACTAGAACTTACAGATTCAAACATCACAGGGGCCAGGCAGGAGAAAGACAACCAATGAACCAGGCTAGGTTTTAATAACTTGAATTAAAAAAAAATAGTTTGTTTGAAAGTCATATATTGTACTTAAAAAAAAAAAATAGTTTGCTTTCCTCTTAACCCTATTACAAAGAAAACATTAGAGAAACACTGTAATAAATGGCAACTGATACTTGGTGACAAAATAGGGAAATCATGGATAAAGTGCAAAATTCATGCCCTACATAAAGGAGACAACTGTTACCCAGCTCCAACTGATGTCATAGTAAAACATGGATGCCTAAACTATCAAAAGGATATGTGTGTGTGTGTGTGTGTGTGTGTGTGTACGTACTGCACAAGTCAAACTAAGCATTTCTATGGCCTACGTCCTGCCAGAGAGCTATCAATACACAACCTCTGGAACAGAGAGGGGCAGATCACACCTAAATTAATTAGTGACTACAACTAGAGTAAGTGGAAGTGTATCATCTACAATGACACTTCTCAGTTACTTACAATTAAGTCATTTATTGTTTGAAACCCAACCAAGTAAGCCACTGAACTACCTTTCTAACGATCAGTAACTAATCCCCCCACTGGATACTGGATTTCTGTCCATTTCTTTACCCTCATTGGATGGATATCGGCATACGGGGGCTTTCCTTCAGCCATTTCTATGGCAGTTATTCCCAGAGACCAGATGTCTGCCACACAGTTGTACCCAATTTCCTGAATCACTTCTGGAGCCATCCAAAATGGTGTTCCTATCACTGTATTCCGCTTGGCCATGGTATCCTAAAATAAAAAGGGGAGAGACCAACAGTAAGCATTAAAACTACTAAGGAAAAGAGAATTTCCAACCATAAAACATGCCTTGAAATACATATAAAAAACATACTCAAGGCATGATCAAGAAAGTCACAAAAGAAATGCAAATGACCAAGATCTCAAACTCCTGACCTCAAGCAATCCTCCCACCTCGGCCTTCCAGAGTGCTAGGATTACAAACCACTAAAAACTTTTACTTTCCATCCTGTATACTTCTGTAACATTCTGATGGCTTATATGAGCATGTATTACATATGCAATCAGACATATTTTTATAGATATATAAAAAGTCTCAGTTTGTGGATTAAAGAAGAATATGTGGATATAGCACATATTACGCAAATAACCACTTGCACGGTTTCCCAGAATGGCATGGCCCTACTGAAAGAGAACCTTCCCACAGTTCCTATACTTTAAGAAGAGGATTTTTAAACAGAACTAAATATGCAGAAGGACTTCCCACCATCATCACCAATGTTCCTTCTGAAATGCCTGTGACTTAGGTTATGCCACTCAGGAGCAAATGACAGGTAATACTCTTAAATCGATCTCACTCTGTCAGTCCTATGTAAAAAATTAACATAGGAACTAACTTACTGCTTAGTCATTTCCTTAGCTCTGAAACTTCAAATTGGCAGGGGTGTTTTCAAATAGTGGTAGTCAAAAGTTGTTTTCACTGGATTATTTCAACTAGAAATGGATACTAGGAAAACTAAAAAATTTTTAAATTAATAAGAGTAATACTAACCCCAACTAGATCTGTATTACAAAGTTATATTAGTACAACAGCATAGCAACAGAAAATATTAAGTCCAGAAACAGACTGGTATATGTATATATACATACGTATATATACAACACAGTCTTTTATATATGCCACGTATATAATTAAAATGTCATTCAAAATCAGCAAGCAAAAGATAGATTATGCAAAAAAAAAAAAAAAACTACTGGGCATCTGTCTAGTCACTTGTAAAACTACACTTAAATTCCTGCCTTATACTTTCACCAAAATAAGTTCAAACAGGTTAAAATATTAAGTCCAGAAACAGACTGGTATATGTA